TATATATATATATTCATCTACAATTGTGAGTATGCAAGATGGGACCAGATAGCCTTCTTGATTTAGCGTTAACTTAAAGCTTATGCATGAATGAATTTCTAGCCCGGACAATATCTTTCAAATGACGGACGAAATCTCAACCCGTTTCCACCCAAAACGGGTGAGGATGTCTCGTGAACTACGCCGATCTGAAACGTTGTATTTACTCAAAACTGCTGCATAACAATTTGAAAGAGCTGTCGTATTCTATCAATCTATGAATCTCTTCATCACACTCCTTCATACGGATTGAGGGTGCCCACACTAATAAAACAAAAGTGTCTAATGGCAATTCGCACTCCTATACAATTATCCAATTGCTCAGTATGGAATAAATAAACACAAGAAAACAACGAAAATAAGTCGACACCTACTTCTCTCCATCTCACCTTATGAAGAAGCGTATCATTCCGCCAGGCGACACTCTTACGCGGTACACACAGTCAGCGAACTCCTCAGAAGAGGCGGGATAGTGAGGACTCGCCAAGATTCCATGCTCCAAATCGAAATCACCACCACAGGCTTATGGAATAGAAAGGCATAGGTTGGAGAACAGAGGTTTTTAGGTACTACACAAGGAAGTAGAAAGATAAGCAGTTGTGTATTTTTAGAAAAACGAGTAATCCTGTGCACCCTTTTTCGGATTGCGTATCTATTGCCTCATAAGCATACTTAAAAAGTCATTGTGGTCTTTTCGAAGCATGAATATAAAGCAACATCTAAAGACTTTAGTTATCCAACCTGGGTAAAGTCATATTATATCCCATGAGATCTCCTATTTGTGGGGCGACTATTTGAATTCAGTGCGTCAGATTCGGTAGTACATGAGTCCTAGGAACTTAATCGGTGAAAGATGTTAAGGAAGGGTTCATAAACGAATAAATACATAAATTAATACTACTTAAAATAAAAAAATAAAAAAATAAAACAGCTTTTATTAGTGATTACCACTACTCCCCTCCCCATAGTAGGCACGGAAGGCGATGCTTCTCTGCTTGTCCGGATCAAACAGCGTGACTCGCAACAGTCCACCTGCACTTGACAGAATATCTACTGGGCCTGCTACTCCCGCAGAACTTCCGGCTCTAATGGAATTTGGTACACAAAAATCGGCGATGATGGGCGACACTGCCACATCCAAGCCGGCTTGTACTATCAACCGGGTGACCTGTGGACCGTTCCCAGAATGAGATGTGTTCGTTTGTACGGCCTTGTGTTGCGGAGGAAGTGTCATCTGGCTGCAGTTTACAGAATTCGCCGAAGACCCATTAATCCTAGCAAGTACAGGCGGAGCTAATCTCGCTTGCCAAATCAGACTGGAGATGTGCAGAAATACCCGATCGCCTGGGCAACAAAGAGTTATTGGAGATGGAATGTAAACAGTTAAATAAAGCAATGAGACCATGTGATTCTAGAGAATCCCACAAACTGCTCTATGATGCTGTGATAGGATTTTTGGAATTCCAATTGTTGAGAGTTTGGCGGAATTCCTATATCACTTATAAGTGACCTGAAAGATCATCCCAAAGCATTTAATTAAATTAATTGGTTTCGATATGTAATGGAATTACGCACAAAACTACTTTACTTTATTTCCCCCCTTTTTCCGTCAAAAACTTTGGACGCTTGATTGAGTGAAATAACAAAAATGATTGTTTCAATATTATTTTTATGTTATGCTTTTCACAACTTGGAGGAATTGCATGCTCTTAAGCTATCTGGGAGAAGCTGGATTTTTGGAGCATAAACATTTTAAGGAATAAGATTCTAAGCAAACTATGCACACAGACGCTTCTATTAGCGAATTCTCAATATGGAGTTGCTTAGC